TTAAATACCTAGGAAAAGAACATTCCAGGAAGAAGGACTAGCAAGTGCAAGGCTTTGAGAAGGGAACTCACTTGAGCTGGTTCAGGAGCAACAGGGAGGCCAGGTGCCTGGAAAGCAGTGAGTGCTGAAGAGAATGGTATGAAATGAACTAAGAGAGGTAGCCAGGGACCACACCGTGTACCGCTTTTTAGGACTTTGGGTTTTATACCGAGAATGGTGGGCCACTTTGGAGGCCTGAGAGGAGGGAGGAACCATGAACTAGATTCATACTGTTGACCCTTGAACAACAGGGGCTCTACTTATGTGCAGATTTTTTTCAGTAATAAGTATTTCTGTACTATACGACCCATGATTGTTTGACTCTTTGGATGCAGAGGGCTGGCCATAAATTAGACTCAGATTTTCAACTGCATTGGGGTGGGGGTCAGTGCTCCCCATCTCTGTATTATTCAAGGGTCAGCTGTGTTTTAAAAAGGATCCCTCTGAATCTTGTATGGAGAATAGACTTTAGAGACAAGAGCTGAAGCGAAATCAGGTAGGACCTGGCTGTCGCAGGAATTCAGGTGAGAGATAGTGATGACTCAACCCAGGTTTAGTGATGGCTAAGGAGAGAGGGGGCTGGTTCACAAGTGTATAACTTAACTTCTTGGTATCGGGAACACATGTTATTCATCTGTCACCCTAGGGCTTAGCACAGGGCTTGATTCTTAGTAGGCTAATTTTGTTAAATGAATAAGACCAAACAAATGCAGCTTTCTTGTCACTTTCCCACATTGTATTGCTTTTGAAAGATTTTACAAGAGGTCTTCACTGTAATCTTAATGTCACTGGCTATGGACTACTTTAGTAGTTCTTAACTTCAACCAGCCTGCTTCCATTATTTATAGAATTGGCTCAAGCCAGCCACTATTTATCCAGAGAGGCTAAAATTATACTAGAGCAGACAGCTTAGATAACCAAATAGGAAAGGACTCAAGATATTATATAGGTAAAGATAAAACTACTCTATGAAAAAGCTATTAATGTTTTCCTATTTTATACACAGAACCTCAGAGAAGTAATTTGTTTATAATAACAACATAACCAGCACATCCCCAAACCAGGTATTTCATCTCCAGATCCTTTACTGTTTGTATCATGCTCATAAATTAACTTACTGAACAACTATCTGTTGAATGTATCAGGCACCATGATAGATAATGGAGTGCTGACATAAGCATAACCCAAATGCGCCCCTTGTAAGTGGTTTATGCTGTCATGGAGGAATCAGGTAAGAAAGTCAAAGGTTTTAATAAGGTGTATAAATGCTGTAATAAAATTAAGCATAGGGCATATTTCAGTTTTGTATATATAATACAATTACTAAAATACAAGGTAAAATAAATACTCCCAGTAGCCTAGCAGCTGCCTAGTTATATATATATTCCATATTTTCCTATTTTGGGGAGTGGATCTGATTTAAAATGCATGGCAGAGTAATTAATTTATTGTTTATTATTCATAGACATGAAAATATGTACAATGTCTTCTGAAATCCATGAGATTGTCTTATACAGCTTTAGAGTTCAGCTGTCTCTATGTTATTTCAAAACTCGAAATGGTTGCATTTATTTTGGGATAACTTCAGTTCAGTCGCTCAGCCATATCTGACTCTTTGCGACCTCATGGACTGCAACACGCCAGGTTTCCCTGTCCATCACTAACTCCTGGAGCTTGCTCAAACTCATGTCCATTGAGTTGGTGATGCCATCCAACCATCTCATCCTCTGTCATCCCCTTCTCTTCCTGCCTTCAATCTTCCCCAGCATCAGCGTCTTTTCCAGAGAGTCAGTTCTTCATGTCAGGTGACCAAAGTATTGGAGTTTCAGCTTCAGCATCAGTCTTCCCAATGAATATTTAGGACTGATTTCCTTTAGGATTGACTGGTTTGATCTCCTTTCAGTCCAAGGGACTCTCAAGAGTCTTCTCCAACATCACAGTTCAAAAGCATCAATTCTTCGGTGCTTAGCTTTCTTTATAGTCCAACTCTCACATCCATACATGACTACTGGAAAAACCATAACTTTGACTAGATGGACCAGGTCTTAATTTTGTCATTGCAATAGGACTAGGCTTGATAGTAACATATGGTTAAAGGAATACATATGGAAAGTTAGAATGTGGTCCCAGGGAATGGCAAAACTTTAGAATTACCCAGTTTAGTCAGACCCTTATATTGGAATATAGACTATGATGAAGTCGGAAATAATTACATCACATAATGAGAGAAGGAAAGAGTGGAAATACCACAGACTTACGAATTAAAAGATGAATTATTCTTTCTTTAGTGGTATTCTCTTAAGTAACTTATTTCTTCTTTTTGAAATATGTGTTTGAACAAGTGAGAAAGTACACCTGTCAAGAGATTAACCAGCTGAGAACCATTGTCAGCATTAATTTTCCTTTAATAAATGACTCTCTGAAGCTATTTAGCAGCCTGTAATCTAGATACAAAGCTGTTGACCTATGATGGATAGTGCTGGGTTTGTTTGTAAGCTTTGACTTAAATCGTCTGCTCAGTTTCTCCTGGTCAGATCAACAGGATTTGGAGTAAGGGTGGTTATGTGGTTTGAATTAAAATAGCCATAGAAATTGAGCAAAATGATTGTAAAACATTAATGATCCACCATCTTGGTGAAGTAAATTAGAAACTAACAAAATGACAGTCACTTAAACTTCACCATTATCAGAATGTTCAAATGACACAGATAAGCTAATTAAAAGCATTTGTTCTAATTGGGTTTTTGTACATAATCAGTTCCATAGTGTGTCTGAAAATATTGTGAAATAATGTAATTTAACCATATGTAAGCATCTCAGACTTTCATAGCATGTGGGCACTTCCTCTTCCAAGATTGTTTGGCTAACATAATGCTGACTTCTCTTCCTTTTAATAATTAGTTAAAAATAGCATGAACTGTAAAATAGAAAGGCTATCAGTTTATGAAATGTTCACAATTAGAATGAAATAAAGATCCTCATTTGGCTTTTTATGTATAAAACCTGTATTTCATTGAATAAATTAAATTTAAAAGTAGGCCATTACTTGTAGCTGTCTATTCTAATAGCCAGGTTTGATACATAGCACAAATAGTTACAGTTTCTTTATTCCTAGCTATACTATAAATAAGTTGTAAAGACAAAAATTGTACTAATATAGTTCTTTCACATACTGCCCTGGTTTTGAACAGCAAAACCTAACCTGAAAATTATGAATTAAGATTCTTCTAATGCTAAAAGCGATAAATAATACTCTTGGTTTTATTTTATAGTTAATATGGATGAGTGAAGCTCCCCCCTACTTCCTTTTTAAGACAAGTCTCAGGTCAGTTCAGTTTAGTTCAGTCACTCAGTAGTGTCTGACTCTTTGTGACCCCATGAACCACAGCACATCAGGCCTCCCTGCCCATCACCAACTCCCGGAGTCCACCCAAACCCATGTCCATTGAGTCGGTGATGCCATCCAGCCATCTCATCCTCTGTCGTCCCCTTCTCCTCCTGCCCTCAATCTTTCCCAGCATCAGGGGAAAGAGACTCCAGTGAGTCAGCTCTTCGCATCAGGTGGCCAAAGTAGTGGAACTTCAGCTTCAGCATCAGTCCTTCCAATGAACACCCAGGACTGATCTCCTTTAGGATGGACTGGTTGGATCTCCTTGCAGTCCAAGGGACTCTCAAGAGTCTAGGCCATATTTTCTGTGCTGAAGTAGAAGTTGCTTCTCCAGTCATTTCCATTAGTGAACACACTTCAGACCTTTGAGAGGCTGAGGAGTGGCCAAACCATTGATAAAGTTTATTTCTTTTTCCCGTCATATCACTAGGAATGAACTGCCCAAAAGGTGTATAGGCCTACCTTGTTATATTGCTCTTTACAAATATTGGGTTTTTCCATTATACACAGAATGGGTACACAACAAGGCCCTACTGTCTGGCACAGGGAATTATATTCAGTATCTTGTGATAAGCTGTAAAGAAAAAGAATATATGTATGTATGACTGAGTCATTTTACAGCAGAAATTAACAAGACATTGTGAATCAACTGTACTTCAATAATAAATAAATAAAATATTTATTTAACAGAAAGAACCAACATGGTGGTAACCTTGACGTGTCAGGTGATACTTAGCATTTTTAACAATAAAGAATTTTTAAATTGTGTATGCTTTGTTTTTATAGACATAATGCTATTGCCCATGTAGTAGAGTACGGAATAGTGTAAATATAACTTTTATATACATTGGAAAAATCTAAATATTCATGTGACTCTCACCTGATTACAATATTCACATTACGGGGGTGACCTGGAACTGAACCCACAGAATCTTCAAGGTATGCATGCTTATATATTAGCAGGAGGAAAAAGAAAAATCAAGTAATAGCTAGAAAGTGCACATCAGAATAATCAGTCTAACTAAGCAATTGTTTTCTTTACCTTAAAAAAGAATCTTTCCATCTGAAATGCCTGCTTGTTTATGGGAGAAAAAGACAAGTCCCTCTCTTTGTCAGTCTCATCTGTAGTGTGCAGAGAGGGAGTGAGTGAGCCAGAGACCCCAAATCCAAACCTGGGCAGCTGACCCATGGCTGTTCCCAGGGCACAGATACTGGTAAGGGTACAGGTCATCTTTTTCACACACTGTTACTGAATAGGTTTTTCAGGAGAATAAGAGATGCATGGAAATAATAAAATTCACATTTCAAATTCCCATGATACTCCATGATCCTGCAAAAAAAACTTGAGGTGAATTGAGTTCGACTGAATCTGTGTGTTGGCTTTGGCTTATGAGTAACCTTCTTAATACTTGACAATTAAAATATTCCAGGAGAGATTTATGCCTGACACAAATATAACTTGGAGGCAAGGTGTTTTGATTTGGTTTGGAATTTTCTCTGATTTTATAATCTACTTAAACACTTGAAGAAATGTATCCCTCTGCTTCTATCCCTTTACCCCCAAATCATTCAGGTGTGGGAGCCGCTCGGTCGGGGAACCTCACATTTATGGTAGGAGGAGTCGAAGAAGAATTTGCTGCTGCCCAAGAGTTGCTGGGGTGCATGGGCTCCAATGTGGTGTATTGTGGCGCTGTTGGGACAGGGCAGGTAACGTTTTCACATCATTGACACTGATTTGATGATGTAAAATCAGCTAATGTTCATTTTTCTTTCCTGACGACAATCTGATTCTGCCTTACTCTGTTCAATCTGTGGACTTTTTGTTTGCTCAGATTTTCTTAAATTAATTTAGAAAAAATTAGTTTTCCATCATTCCTACTAGAAGTAAGCAGAGATCAGCCAATGAATTTAAAAAGATGTCAAAAGTTCCTTCATTTCAGACTTGGACATGTTTGCCCCAGCGACCACTGAAATTATCCTTAAAATGGCTTCTGTATGAAGTGCTCATGTTGTCTGATTTGCTGTTATCCTCCCTCTAACTTTGTAATTGCTTGCCACAGCTCTATTCTTAGTACTGTTGGGTAGAAGTAATGTATGCACTTTAACTTAAAAAAAAAAAACCACATAATTTTCATCAAGAAATGTGTTATGTTACTTTTCTAATCAGACAGAGGTGAATGATCACATTGAATCTTGAAATCAAACAGGTTGTCCCCCTCCCACCCAACACTCTTCACTCCTCTTCATGATTTGTCCTGGCCACTAGTCCCTTTTTTTTTTTTTTTTAAATCATATTCAGGACTATACTATGATCCTAGATACATCTGTTGTCTCCATTCCCTTATCCAGTCAGTCTCCAGTTTCTGATTCTGGCCTCAGTGGCTCTCACTGTTCTCTCTCTAGTTCACTGCACACATTACCTGGTCTGGTCTTTCATTGTGTCATGCCTTGTTTACTGCTCCCAGGGCCTAGTGGATCTCTGGACACTGGGCTTACCCCTCTGCCAACACTGTCACCAGAACCAATCAGATGCTTGTGTCCTTGTAGAGTTCCCAATTCTGACACTTTGTGTAGATCTCTTGTTTCCTACCATGTCAAACTCGAGGACACTCTATTCTAGCTTCCGTAGCTCTTGACCCAGTCTTAAGCTGTCAAACTTCTTCCCAGTCCTTAAAACCACTGCCCAGGAATCCGTTTGCTTACTGTTCTCAAGAATATCTCATACTCTTATGTATTTACTTTTTCTCCTGGTCTCCTCCTTTCCCTCTCTTACCTGTTGAAATCCTGCCTGACCTTCTGAGAGATGGTTTCAGGTTTCACTTCCTCTCTGCTCCTGCCCTCAGTGACCTGGTGTCTCTGAACTCCTGTCTCTGTCTACAGCTTCTGCCATGCAGTTTCCCACTTAGTTGTGTTTGCTTGTTCACTGCCCTTTCATTCATTGTCTTACTACTGTTTCCCCGGTTAGGATGTCAGCCCCATTCCTGAAGGAACAGTTGTGCCACATCAGTCAGTATTCCCTGTCGTGCCTGCACCCATGGAAATAACTCTGTCACCTACACTTCACAGTTCTTCCCTGGTGCAAGAGACACCCCCACCCCACCCCTGTCAGCTCTGGGAGCTTGTGTTAGGCTTGGAGGGAGGTTTGCAGCACCAAATGCCTTTTCCTGTTTGAGAGAATCAACAGTTGAATGCTCTTACTTTTAGAAACATGTAGAATTGGGTGAAGAAATCTTCCTGTGAGTTATAGCTTGAAAATAAATATATTTAATATTCACTCAATTTATTTTCAGGCTGCGAAGATCTGCAACAACTTGCTGTTAGCTATTAGTATGATTGGAACTGCTGAAGCTATGAATCTGGGAATCAGGTTTGTTGAATAGTACATTTTCATATACTAACAATTTTTATGAGCTTTCCGATTTGATTTTCTGATGTTGAAAACAAATGTTCATGAGAGATAAATGAGTTGATCCAGGAACATTTTGAAAGTATTTCATTATTGAACTTTAATAGACTTTGCTTATTGGACAACCAATAGGACCCTGGAGAGCATGAATACTCTTTGCCCTAAGCCATAAAATGCATTGTGCTGTCTATTTGAAGTTACATTATCCTTTTTACATTGGGAGCTCCATTTCTTCTCTTATGTCACAATGCAAGAAACACTTTTACTATAAAATTTAAACAATCTTTGGCAGTATAGGACAAATTTGTATAATATACAGTTTTAATGTATAGTGAATTCAAGTGTTAGGCTACCATGTGACTGGTTTTATATATTTATTTAAAATATAGTCCCCAGTATCTACACTAAAAGGACTCTTGGTTATTTATTCTCAGGATAAACTGGATGGCATTCATAAGACTACATAGCATAACTCTTCATTTTAACTTGCCTAGGGTTTTACATTAAGGTTTTACATTATCCTTACTTTACATTAAAAATATATCTTTTCATTGAAATAAAATGGCATTCATACTTTGCTGAAATTGATTTAGGAATTCAGTTTTTCCTACGATGGGGATCATCCTTTAGAATGCTTAAGGTTAATGCCTTAATTTTAGTCTTTAATCTTTTGGGTTAGGAATTCTAAATATGATTAATCACCTAATTAATTTTTTGGATGTTTTGTATTTCATGAATATAATATATATTTCTTATTTTAGAAAATGCTTAATGAGAAAGATGCTTTTATTCAGGTGTTTTCTTCACACTTCCCAGAACTGCTTGCCAAATATATTACAAATCAGAGTAGTGTTTCATATCATAGCTTTTGATAAAAGTAATAAAAGAGCCAAAGTACTTGAGATATTTTTTTAAATACAGTAATGGTTTCACATTTCCTCTTAATTACCATATCAAGATGCTGTTGTTTTATTGAATTGCCCTTGTCTCAGATGTTAAACTATCTTGACCTATTAAGTTGTCATGTTGTAATTGAGATAAAAGAGGAATTTGCTTTGCATCAGTGCTAATTGGTTTATCAATATCCTGTACCATTTACATTTTAAAATTGAATGTCTGTAAGATGGTAAGGCATATCTGTACAAAGTCTTAATAAAACTGGTAGTATATAGGAAGCTTTTCAGAGTGTTGTGTCTGTAATGTAGCTAGTTTAGGCTATGGGTCACTTATCATAATTGGAAAACTAGTTACTAGTAACTTATTTTCATGTCCATTCTTTAGACTAATTTTATGGAGGAAGAAAATGTAAATTTCTGGAAGCAAATTGCATACAAAATTAATTGGTGTTGACAACAGGATTAGAGTATTAGTATGCATTTTCAGGTTTAGAATTTTCTTTTTTCTGGGTATAAATGAGTATATAATTAAAAAAGTAAAAGCCTAGATTACACTATACCAAAATTTCCTTCTATTTTTGCCAGTTTATTTTATAGTCTGCCTCTTACATTAAGCATCACTGGATCAGAATGTTCATTAGGCATCTTATAGCATTCCTCAAATGTTTCTCCTAGCAAAACTCTTATTAGGTGATCGTTCTAAAATGAAATTTTTGTACAGTAAGTGCTTATGGACGTCTTACTCCAAAGGCCAGCTAATAAAGAGTAGTATGAAAATCAGTTGAATCAAATGAATAAAATGTATACATTGGCTACTAGAGTAAGTTTATTATCAAAGAGGAAAAAAAAGTGATAAAATTTCAAACAAGTATTAAGAGCAAAAGCAATAAATCTTTTATTGTTGGCCTTGATTCACTATGATAAAAACAATATTTGGAAAATATTAAGCTTTCAATGTTTAATTTTTCCAAAACTGTATATTACTGTTATTGATGTATATGTGTATAAATAAAATATTTACGTATGTATATACACACACACACACGTCTGAATTCAAAGCAGGAATTCATTATTTTTACTTATGTGCTACAATATTAATAATCTGTAAGTTTGTGGTACTCTACATTGTACTAATGAATTGTTTATTTTCACAACATTAGGATTTTATCAGTTTATCTTACAGAGATTCTCAGTGGTTTGAAAGTCCTAAAAATGATTGCTTCAGCTATTGTCTTTTCTCCATGGTTTACAGACATGGTTTAAAATGACAGGATTGTTCTCTAATAGAGTATAGAGAGCGGCCACGATTTATTGAGCTTTGCAAGGTGAAAGAGAAAATTGGCATCAGCAAGCATAAATTCCCAAGTAGTAAATTCCCACAAAGTACTATAGCATCAAAGTGGTTCAGCCACATTTATATTCTGTTCACTCTGAAGTGAAAATTTTCTAGAGCATTAATGTCAACATTTACAAATTGAGTCACTTGTTCCTATGAAGTGATCATTTCTGATTAATTTCATTCTCATAAGGCAGTGTTTTTTTCTGGAACACTGACGTTTCCCTTTTTTAAATAGAAGATTAAAACCTTATAGTTTTAAACTCTTATTGACCCTATATGATCTTTTACAATGAATGTTTATGGATGTCAGTGAAAGTTTAAATGCTATAAAAAAAAAAAAAGTAAAGCATAAAAAGCATTGGTATACAGCATATTTGGAGATTCTTTTTTACTGGACCTTTCTGCCTTCTAATTGGGTTCTATTTAGGACTCAAGAGCGTAGTTTTACGGTACTAAAAATGTCTTATGTGTCTTAGAGAGATTTTTGTTCCCATGCACCACGTAAGGATAAGGTTGGTAATGTGAATTTTGTTGTTTGTTTTCATTTTTCTTCTACCAGAAATTGTGTTTTTGTTTGGTTTTCTTTTTTTTTCCCCCCCAATATGGGTGGTGTAACAAGTTATTTGCGTTACCACCAGGGCCCAGGGCCCTCTAGCAACAGCCATATTGTCTCCTTCCACCAAAAGAAGCTTAAAACGGTTAAGCTTCTGGAAGGCTGTTCAAGTTGAAGGCGTTCCCACTAGCATAATTCCAGCTTCTTGGCTGCTGCCCTGAGATGGCGTTTCCTTTTTGTTTAAGTGACGGCTGAAACCTCTCAGTTGTATACCCTAATAGATAAAACATATGGCCAAAGGCTTGTAATAAAGGTTTGACCAAATTTCTTACTAAACTGGTAAGATGGTCGTCACGATGGCTGATTAAGTGACTACCCATATGACCTAGTGAGACTCAGGGTGGTGAGTCTGGGTGCCTGTTGGTGACCACATTCCAGCTCTGCCACCAACTTAAACTTTTCTCATCTATAAAATGACAAAAATAATAGTATCTATCCATAGTAATAATAGGATCTGTTGTGAAAAGTGAAAGTGTTAGTCACTGAGTCATGTCCAACTCTGTGTAACCCATGGACTGTAGCCCTCCAGGCTCCTCTGTCCATGGAGTTTTCCAGGCACGAATACTGGAGGTAGCCATTCCCTTCCCCAGGAGAACTTCCCAGCCCAGGGGTTGAACCCAGGTCTCCCACATTGCAGGCAGGTTCTTTACCATCTGAGCTACCAGGGAAGCCCCGTGTCTGTTGTGAGGAGTAAATAAATTCACCCATGTCAGTCTTTTAAAACAGTTCCTGAGACATAGTAGGTGCTTAATACATGGTAGTTATTGACGTGATGGTGGTGGTTAGTATTTGAATTGTACGTTAACGTTTTTTCTTCATAATGCTTCTCACTGGCTAGCATTATAGATTTGTTTGTTTGTTTGTTTATTGCCTGTCTTCCCAATTAGAATGCAGGTTCTGTGAGCTTTGTCTGTTCATCCATGGCACATAGTAGGCACTCAGTGAAGATTTGTCAGGTGAATGAAGAGGAAAGAGTGGGGGAGGTAGGTAAGGCTCTTCCCCCTGCCTTAGGTAAATGTTACTATGTGGATGTCCTAACTGGCCCACTCTTGGAGGGCAGGCACAGCCTCTTGTTAGCTGGCAAGTCTGCATAAACTTTGGTGAACAAGGGAATGATTGATTTAAATTGACCTAGTCTTGGATGTTTCATTTCCAGATCAGTTCCTGTGATACAAACATCTCAGTTTAGGGACATCATTTGCAGTGTTCTTATATAAACCAGACAGTATAGATACTTACAGAGACTATAAAGTGAGCAAACTTTTTTGGCCTTTAAAAGCCTTGGTTACAGTGAAGGCAAACACTTGGCTTCTCTTGAATTTTTCTTACAGTTTATGCATCATTTTTACTTCTCTCAAAAGTTCATTTCAAATTCTTGTGTTTTAAAGGTGAGTAGATTTGACAGAGTGACGTTTATTTGAGTTGCATTATATATGCGGTCAGAGCAATGAATTCATTCTCTGTTTATATCAGAGAACATTCCAGCAATTGTAAAGCCACATGCATGCACGCGCGTACTCTCGAACCACATCCAGTGGCAAGTTATTATGGGGACTGACAGACTGTCATCCTTTTGATGGCTTGAGCTGTATATCTCCTGAACAGCAATGGGGCTCTTATGCAGAAAGTATCATATGTTCCCAGCCAATTTACAGGGAAACAGCAATAACATTTTATCATGGTTGAGAGCCCAGTAGCTGCTTCCTATTAAACTTGCCCTTTCAGATACCTGTCTTGGATTAATTTGTTGATTTCAAATGGAAACTCAGTCTTCTCCAGTGAAGCATGACGTTCTAGGATAGACTCCCTGAATGACAATTACTGTGTATTCTAGCTGGCTGCAGACCGTTACAAGCCTTGGGCACAGTGGAAGACAGAGGACTTCAGTAACTGATTTTAATATCATGTCTAATTTTAGCTGTCAGTTATATATATGCCAGTGAAAGAATCCTCAGAAAGATGAAATGCAAAACACTTCGAACTTGCTCTTTTTAATGATACACTTTGCTGTTGGTGGGGGGAGTGGCTTAGGGAGGTGCGAAGAGCGGGCAGCCATCTCCTAAAGGTATCAGCCCGGTGGGGACACAAAAGATTTGAAAAGTGAGCACGTGACAACTGTCACCTCGTTTTTTGGTGTGCCCCTCAGGTTGCTTCTAAATAGTAACATGTTCACCAAAAAGAGTTCCATAAATCAGTGCCAGTATTTTTCCTTGAACATTCAAGCAAAATGAAAGGTAGGGTTTTACAACAGATAATAAGCTGTGCTCCCATTTGGTGAGTATTATAGACAGAGTATGAATTTCTTTAGCAATAAAGAGCATTGTGAGGCACTGTTGAGTCCAACCTGGTAAGCAGGGGAGTATCTCTGCTGCTCAGAATGTGATGAGCCATTTTCAAAGAAAATTTAAATTAGGAAGCCTGAATTACATTGCAAATGGTAGGAAAAAGCAATGTTTTGGAGAGGGGGTCTTTAAAAATATCCCCTGTTCATAGAACACAATATTTGTGCTTAGAAAATATATTTGCGGTTACAGCAAATTGACTAATTATTCATTTGTGACTTTATTTTCCACAGTTATTCCCTGAGTGCATTGGCTTTGGGTCATCTGCTCCCATAGCACCCTGGTAGCCTGGTTTTATTTAAAAGAGAAAGAAAACATCAGTAGCAAATTATACATGTAACAAACTTGGATCTTTATAAAAGAATGAGTGAAACTGTCAGGTTACTTTCCAGTAGAGTACAGTTGAACGGCTGGCTTCAATGGAATCTATTTGTTACAATCTTTTAGTAAAAACTGCTCATTATAACATGGCCCACTATGTGATTTCGTGTAGATGGCATGCCATATCGTGTTCCTTGAATCACAGTTGCTCCTTGAAAGTCTGATTACATAACAGTTGTATTATGTGGTAAGTCCTTACCCATCCCGGGTATTATCCCTCGACCCCACTTGAGCGTTTGGAAAAAGGTTTTCCTGGTTGTTATATTCTGCCCTGGAAATAAACAGATATATTTCAACACACAGGTAATAAGCAGCATGCCAAAATACACAATTCATTTAACATTTATATATCTCTTTTTAATCTTTTTTTTTTTCCATTCTGGAATGGATTAGTTTTAAGGAAAAGTAGAAAGTTTTATTTGAAACTTGATTAAAAGATACTTAGCAAAACTGTGCTTGCCAGACTGCACTAAGATACTTGAAATCAAAGTAGTACAGCATTTTAATTTTTTTTTTCCGTGGGTCCACATTTGAAAAGCCGTTTATGCCATCGGCTCAGTGATAGAACAAATGATGTTTCCGCTTGGGCAGGCTTTGTTTTATCAGGATCAGTAACCTTATCAGCAGTTGACCCAGAACTATAATGCATGCCTCTGAATAGATAGCATATGTCACAGCTCTATGCAGACTTGCTTCATAAGCAAGATGGTCTAATGAAGATTTAATAAATAAGGAAAAGTTTACAGCAAGAAATGTCCTCTTTTATAATAATAACTTCTCATAAGCTCATTTTACTGCTCATGACTCATCTCTTGCATTTATTCTCATAAAAGCTAAAAGAATAAACATACACATAAATGACACATAGACTCCCATGAAACGTAGCTTATCTGTTAGTATTTCTTTCTGAAATATATCATTTGTGAATAAAGACTGTAGAATTTAGATGATCATCTTGGCTTAAGGTTCTTAGGTGACACATAAATGCAATAATGTTCAAAAGACTAGAAAACCTATGTGTATGATAAGCCAGCAACACTTTTTATGCAATTATATATTGTTTCTTAAAGGCAGGGTAGCGCAGGTTTTCTCTCAGTGTAGTGTCCTGGCTCAGAAGTGTTTCTTCACTAGCTTTTAACACCCTATAATTTAAGATTGGATTCCTCACTCATCCATCTGCTTTGATTTTTGAAGACATCATAAATGGAGAGAGAAGATGGAGCACCCTCAGACATAAATAAGTCACATGTGACTTGTACACTTTGACATTTAACACTTCTTTCCTTTGACCTTTGACAGGTTAGGGCTTGACCCAAAACTCTTGGCTAAAATCCTAAATATGAGCTCAGGACGATGTTGGTCAAGTGACACTTATAATCCTGTACCTGGGGTGATGGATGGAGTTCCCTCGGCTAATAACTATCAGGGCGGATTTGGAACAACACTCATGGCAAAGGTATGGGAAATGCAGTGACTACCCAAGAGAGTGGGGAAATGTTTAATGGTCTCTTCTTCTCCTTCTATCTTTCCCTCTATCATTCTCCATCCACCCCCACTTGCTACTACCTCCCTCCCTCCCCAGGGCTCACCACCCCACCCCACCCCACCCCACTCCCACTCCTCCCTGCTTGTAAGAAAGCACACATCTATCCTAGAAGGCAGATGACTAAAATAGCGACTCACTCACAGGAAATTAGTTCACACTTAGCTTGGATAAAAACCCTTATCTTGTTCATGTTTAATCCTTGTCTTTTGGATGAGAATAGATTAGGATGTTTCTCTTGTGTTTGGCTTTGTTTGTAATGTGAGTCGGTAAAATTTTGTTCTTCTTGTTTATTGTCATTTACCAAGTCCTTAGATATGGAAGCAGTAAGCATTTTCTGATGGCTAATAATATAATGACATTAGATGTACATATCACAGAAGAGAGGATCTTTCTCATGATACTAGATTTCTAAGTACATCTTCCTGCTTTAAGAATATGAGTTTACGTGTAAAGTCATTTGAAAAGCAAATTATCAGCCTTCTCTCATTTGTGATTTCAACGTTAGAAAATACTTTTTAGACAAACAGTTTCAGATTTTTGTGTAGTGCGTTCCCCCGTTCTCACTCCCCACACCCCTGCCCTTTACTTTTCGACCAAAGTAATAGTACGAACACTTGGATATGGCGCGCAGGTTACCCTTGCTCGTTCCCCACGATGTTCGTGCACTCTGCCTCCCTACTGTGCCTTGCCTTTGTCCACTTGCCCTCTCCACCACCTCCAGTACCTTGGCTGAACCCCATTTGGATGCTGCCACATCAGCCCTCAACTGGTCTCCTTGCCTTTCATTCTCATCTTCCCCAGTTCATTTTCCATGACATGGCAAAGGGTGGGCTTCCTAAAATGTAAAAACCTGATTATGTCGTCTCTCCTGTTAAGCCTCTTTCGTGGATTCCAGTTACTTGTAGGTTAAAGTCCATCTCTGCACGTTTTCTTAAAGGCCTTTGCTCTCCTCCCTGACTCATCTCTGCTTCCCACTCCCCTCCTGTGCTTTAGCCACGTGGGACTCATTTGGCCCCTTGTTTTCCCTCCCTGGCAGCCCTGCGCCTGGTCTGCCCCAGGCCTACCTCAATACTTCCTCACCCTCCAGCCCGACCCCTGGCACATTGTCAGCTCATTCCAAATATTTATTGGGTGAAGCCAGGTTTGAAACTATGTTTCTTATTTTGTGGATTTTGTAGTTTCATTTCTCCTCATGTTTCATTTAAGAAAATACTTATTTTTATGCCAGTCTGTACCTTGTATTTTGGCTTGCATATCTTCCACACAGGCTTTTATTGATGTAGTGTGCTGTGTTACTTTTATTGGAGAAAGTAGCTCCTTAAGTGGATTGTTTTCACAAAGCTGCAGGGTCGTTTATCAGGACACAGAAGAGTGAAAGAATCACATTTGTGCCCAGTTTGCTTTATGTATCTGTGTGAAGTAGGTTGTGACCTGTTAGCTTGTTTGGTTTCTCAAATACTGCTAATGGCTCCAATTGAAGAAGCAGCTAGCAAGTGACCTGTAAGCAGTGCTGGCTTTATTTTGGGACTCTCAACTGTAGCTGACCTGTGTATCACACCTTTCATTCCACCATTTTCTCCAGTGCCCCTGCCCAGGAAGAATCTGTCCCTATTGAGGTCCTTTAAAATTATTTCCCTGATAGTAGAAGATAGCATAAGACAATTCAGTAGTAAAACATATGAACATTGTTCTCTTTTGCCCTTGTTTTCTCTGTAAAATGCAGTTGTCATTTCCCTTACAAAGAACAATACTTCTGAATTTTGCTTACAATGAGACAATTTACACAGAAATGCTTTCATCATCTCAGAGGGCTGTTAGTGAAACCCACTATAGATGTGTGTATGGGTGTGTGTCTCACACTATAGATGAGACTTGTGTCGAGAAATTGATAGAGGTTAAAAAAATCCCCATGAATGCTACTGATGAAAGCAGTCATACCTGCTTGGGCAGATGAGGCTATTTGTTGTTGTTCAGTCACTAAGTCGTGTCAGATTCTTTGTGACCATGGACTGTAGCATGCCAGGCTCCCCTGTCCTTCACTATTTCCATGATTTTGCTCAAATTCATATCCATTGAGTCAGTGATGCTATCTAACCATCTCATCCTCTACTGCCTCCTTCTCCTTTTGCCTTCAGTCTTTCCCAGCATCCGTGTCTTTTCCAGTGAGTTGGCTCTATGCATCAGGTGGCCAGAATATTGGAACTTGAGCTTCAGCATCAGTCCTTCCAATGAATATTCAGGACTGATTTCCTTTAAGACTGACTAGTTTGACCCCTTGCACTCCACGGTACTCTCAAGAGTCTTCTCCAATGCCACAATTCGAAAGTATCAATTCTTCAGCACTCAGCCTTCTTTATGGTCCAGCTCTCACATCTGTGCATGACTACTGGAAAACCATACCTTTGACTATATGGACCTTTGTCAGCAAAGTGATGTCTTTGATTTTTAATATGCTGTCTAGGTTTGTCACATCTTTCCTTCCAAGGAGCAAGCGTCTTCTAATATCATGATTGCATTCACTGTCTACAGTGATTTTGGAGCCCAAGAAAATAAAATCTGTCACTGTTTCCATTATTTCCCCATCTCTTTGCCATAAAGTGATGGGACTGGATGCCATGATCTTAGTTTTTTGAATGTTGAGTTTTAAGCCAGCTTTTTCACGCTTCACTTTCACTTTCAAGAGGCTCTTTAGTTCCTCTTCACTTCCACTAGCCCTTAGAGTGTTATCATCTGCATATCTGAGGTTATTGATATTTTTCCCAGCAATCTTGATTCCAGTTTGTGATTCATCCAGCCCGGCATTTCACATGAAGTACTCTGCATATAAGTTAAATGACTAGGGTGGCAATATAGAGCCTTGTTCTACTCCTTTCCCAGTTTTGAACCACTCAGTCGTTCCATGTTGCTTCTTGACCCACATACAGGTTTCTCTGGAGACAGGTAAGGTGGTCTGGTATTCCCATCTTTTTAAGAATTTTCCACAGTTTGTTGTGATACGCACAGTCAAAGGCTTTAGCATAGTCAGTGAAGCAGAAGTAGATGTTTTTCTGATGCTTCCTTGCTTTCTCCGTGATCCAGCAAATTTTGGCAATTTGATCTCTGGTTCCTCTGCTTTTCTAAACCTAGCTTGTACATCTGGAAGTTCTCAGTCCACGTACTACTAAAGCCTAGCTTGAAGGATTTTGAGGATAGTCTTAGTAGCATGTAGTAGCACTCATTTCAGTGAGTGCAATTGTACAGTAGTTTGAACATTCTTTGGCATTACCTTTCTTTGGGATTGGAATGAAAGTTGACCTTTTCCAGTCCTATGGCCACTGTTGAGTTTTCCAAATTTGCTGACATATTGAGTGCAGCAGTTTAACAGCATCATCTTTTAGGATTTGAAATAGCTCAGCTAGAATTCCATCACTTCCACTAGCTTTGTTTGTGGTGATGCTTACTAAGGCCTACTTGATTTCATATTCCAGGATGTCTGACTCTAGGTAAATGATCACACCATCATGGTTATCTGGGTCATGAAGATCTTTTTTGTGTAGTTGTGTATATTCTTACCACCTCTTCTTAATCTCTTCTGCTTCTGTTAGGTCTTTACCATTTCTGTCCTTTATCCTGCCCATCCCTGCATGAAATGTTTCCTAAATAGCCCCAGTTTTCTTGGAGAGATCTCTGGTCTTTCCCATTCTGTTGTTGCCCTCTATTTGCACTGTTCCTTTTTTTTTTTTTTCCATTTATTTTTATTAGTTGGAGGCTAATTACTTTACAATATTGTAGTGGTTTTTGTCATACATAGACATGAATTAGCCATGGATTTACATGTATTCCCCATCCCGATCCCCCCTCCCACACTGTTCTTTAAGAAGGCCTTCTTATCTCTCTTTGCTGTTCTGTGGAACTCTTGATTCAAGAGTTGTGTGCTAAGTTGCTTCAGTCATGTCCAACTCTTTGTGACCCTCTAAGCTGTAGCCTGCCAGGCTCCTCTGTCCATGGGATTCTCTAGGCAAGAATACTAGAGTGGGTTGCCATGCCCTCTCCAGGATATTTTCTCAATCTAGGGGTCAAACTTGTGTCTCTTTTATCACCTGGGAAGCTCTCAGTTGGGTATATCTTTCCCTTTCTCCCTTGCCTTTCACTTCTCTTCTTTCCTCAGCTATTTGTAAAGCCTCTTTAGACAACCACTTGCCTTCTTGCATTTCTTTTTCTTTGGGATGTATTGGTTACCACCTCCTATACAGTGTTATGAACTTCCGTCCACAGTTCTCAGACCCTCTACCAGATCTAATCCCTTGAATCTATTCGTCACCTTCACTGTATACAATCATAAGGGATTTGATTTAGGTCATACCCGAATGGCCTACTGGTTTTCCCTACTTTCTTCAATTTAAGCCTGAATTTTTCGATATGGAGCTCATGATCTAAGCCACAATCAACTCCTGATCTTGCTTTTGCTGACTGTATAGAGCTTCTCCATCTTTGGCTGCAAAGAATATAATCAGTCTTATTTTTATCGACTCTCTGGTGATGTCCATGTGTTGCTGGAAAAGGGTGTTTGCTGTGACCAGTGTGTATCCTTGATAAAACTCTTGTTAGCCTTTGCCCTGCTTCATTTTGTAGTCCAAGACCAAACTTGCCTATTACTCCAGGTATCTCTTGACTTCCTACTTTTGCATTCCAGTTCCCTATGATGAAAAGGACATCTGTTTTTGGTGTTAGTTATAGACAGTCTTGTAGATCTTCATAGAACTGGTCAACTTCAACTTCTTCAGCATTAGTGGTTGAGGCATAGACTTGGATTACTGTGGTGTTGAATGGTTTGCCTTGGAAGCAACCCAAGATCATTTTGTTGTTTTTGAGATTGCACCCAAGTACTGCATTTCAGACTCTTTCATTAACCATGAGGGCTACTCTATTTCTTTTAAGGGATTCTTGCCCACAGTAGTAGATTCGGACTCTTTCATTAACCATGATGGCTACTCTATTTCTTCTAAGGGATTCTTGCCCACAGTAGTAGATATAATGGTCATCTGAATTAAATTTGCCCATTCCCATCCATTTTAGTTCACTGATTCCTAAAATACCGATGTTTACTCTTGCCAGCTCCTGCTTGATCTCGTCCAGTTTGATTGACTCAAGGACCTAACATTCCAGATTCCTATGCAATATTGTTCTTTACAGCATCAGACTTTACTTTCACCACCAGGCACATCCACAACTCAGCGTTGTTTCCACTTTGGCCCAGCTGCTCCATTCTTTCTGGAGCTATTAGTAATTGCCCTCCACTCTTCCCCAGTGGCATACTGGACACCTTCCGACCTGGGGGACTCCTCGTTCTGTGTCATATCTTTTTTGCCTTTTCATACTCTTCGTGGGGTTCTCTCAGCAAGAGTACTAGAGTGGTTTGCATTCCCTCTTCTAGTGGACCACGTTTTGTCAGAACTCTTCACTATGACATGTCCATCTTGAGTGGCCCTGCATGGTGTGGCTCATAGCTTCATTGAGTTATGCAAGCCCCTTCACCATGACAAGGCCTTAACTTACTAGGAGATATTTTGCTTGATTGCTATTAGATCTCATTGTGTTGGGGGAGATGATATTAGTGTGTTCTTAAAGTAGAGGCTTATATGTTTCTAGGTCTTAACATAATAAAATTCTAATATAGGGTGTGTATATATAATCAGACCATAATTAGAACATCCAAAAACTCCTCAACCTAAAAGTCTGTTTCTGATGGCCTCTAAGAAACAACTTATGAAATATCATGACCACTCTTGTTACTTATTTAATGTACCTGTCTCCTTGTAAAATGCAATGACTTGGTTCTTCATTAATTTGTTGAAAACTTTTGCAGTTGTTTTATTTTTTCCCCTGAACCACCCATTGAGCTCATGAATTCATAAATGTTTTTATTTGATTAGTGAAGTGGGGCATTTGTTTGTTTTAAATTACATGTTACAGACTTCAAAGGATGCCTTCTTTTCTTACATTTCAGGACAGACAAGCCACTTAGAGTTTTATAGACTAAATCACCTTTCTCTTTTTAGAATGTCTGTCCTCTGAGGTAGCAGCCAGCAAAGCTATTTTAGCTTCCTTTTTTTGGTTTTATTAGCTCTTATTTGGAATATTTACTTGCCCACTTGAAAACCTCTACTAGACTTTCCTTCTCAATAATGTTGTCTTCTCCTCAGTATGTTATGTTTACTCTCAGTTTTTATATTCTAGTTATAGTTCTAGGTTAAAAATTACAGGCAGTCTTCCTATGTAGATTTTCTCTCTGTTGTTTTTAAATAAATGCATCTTGCAGATGTGCAGCAAAATGATGTTGACAAGAAGCTTGTCTGCTTGTCTGGGTATAAGCAATAAAGTAGCTTTTCCACCCACACTTGTTAAATGTGTGGGTAATAATTAACCTTGCTTTTCAGTGGAAGCTATAGACGAGTTTTAGGTTAAGTAGATTTTTGAAATCTATGTGTTTGCATGTGAAAAATATATAAGTAAGCACAAAATCGTGTTAACACCTATAGCATCATACATATCCAAGTGGCTAGAGATTTAACCCATTCTTTAAACTTTCCTTCTTTTTTCTTTGAATCATTTCCTCCTTTGAGTGGATGGTATCCATAACTGCTCATTTATCAAGAATGTTCCTCAAAGAATACAAATGGTCCTGATCTTGCCTCTTGTCTTCCTCTTTCATTGCTTGTTGACTTTTCTGTTGATGAGGAAATGAGGATGGTAATGGTAAGAAGGCAATCTAGCTGGTTTTGCCACTTGTGCAGCTCTTATATAATCACAAATAAAATGAAATGTGGGGAATATTGTTTCAATTACTCATGCCTTCATTGTCTTCCATTTACCCTACATATTTCAAGGTGGGATATGATTCTATTCTTATAGTAGAAGATACCATTCACTACAGTTTAACTATAAAAAATTTATAATGTTAGCTTTTGTTTATCTTTAAACAACCATAAGTTTTACAAAACTCTCAAAATGAAGCATTAGCTCTCAGAGATGTTAAAGGGTTGATGTGATGCTGACTGTCCATTGCGCTTGAAAGAAAATCTAGCCTTCTCACCAAACATCTTGTTCCACCTCTGCCCATCCCCAGGTTCATTTCCCTCCCCTGCACCTTGCTCACTCTAGTTCAGTCTCATTGGCCTTCTTACTGTTTCTTGAACATCCAAGCTATGCCTCCTGCAGGGCCTGTCCCTTGCTCTTCCACCCACCTGAAACTTCATTCCCCCAGCTCTTCAAACAGCTCACTGCCCCCTCACATTCACATCTTAGGTCAAGTGTCTTCACCTCAGGAGGTCTTCCCTAAACATCTCATCAATCAGAACTCTCTTCCTTCCACTCTCCCCCTTGCTGTGTATGACTTCCTGACCCCTTACCCTGCGTATTTTTCCTCATCACTTGTCATTATCTGGAAGTTCAGCAGTTGATTTCCTGTCTATCTTTCACACTGGACATTAAGTTCCTGAGAATAATGACTTGGTTTTATTATGACCACGTATCACCAGCACTTAGAACAGTGTCCAGCACACAGCAATTTTTTTTCATTTATTTTTATTAGTTGGAGGGTAATTACTTTACAGCATTGTAGTGGTTTTTGTCATACATTGACATGAATCAGCCATGGATTTACATGTATTCCCCATCCCGATCCCCCCTCCCACCTCCCTCTCCACCCGATCCCTCTGGGTCTTCCCAGTGCACCAGGTCCGAGCACTTGTCTCATGCATCCAACCTGGGCTGGTGATCTGTTTCACCCTAGATAATATACATGTTTCGATGCTGTTCTCTCGAAACATCCCACCCTCACCTTCTCCCACAGAGTCCAAAAGTCTGTTCTATACATCTGTGTCTCTTTTTCTGTTTTGCATATAGGGTTATCGTTATCATCTTTCTAAATTCCATATATATGTGTTAGTATACTGTAATGGTCTTTATCTTTCTGGCTTACTTCACTCTGTATAATGGGCTCCAGTTTCATCCATCTCATTAGAACTGATTCAAATGAATTCTTTTCAATGGCTGAGTAATATTCCATGGTGTATATGTACCACAGCTTCCTCATCCATTCGTCTGCTGATGGGCATCTAGGTTGCTTCCATGTCCTGGCTATTATAAACAGTGCTGCGATGAACATTGGGGTGCACGTGTCTCTTTCAGATCTGGTTTCCTTGGTCAGCACACAGCAATTTTTAAATATGTGTTGACTAAGAGATTGAATGGATATTTTCATCATTGATAATTTCATATTGGGGTTTGTTTTAGGCTTACAGGCTTCTGCAGATGTGAAAAAACATTTCTCTATGTGGTCTCATCTGGATGGGAACATACCTGTCCAGAGTCAAAACAGATAGGTTTTGTGGAGGAGTGGAGAGGACCCTCAGAAATCAAGGTTTGTCTCTGGAGCAGTTTTGTAGCTGTAAGATAGCACTTATAAAATATTTATACACACACACACATTTAACTTAACATCATTCTTGTAAGTATCTTATTTTTTCAGATTTCGTTTTTTCTTCTTTGAAACCCAAGCATTAGGAGCCACAATTCCGAAGTGAGCCTTAACTGCACAGCCTCAATGTATTCCCTCCACCCTTGTTTGATTTAGGATCTGGGATTAGCACAAGACTCTGCTACCAGCACGAAGAGCCCAATCCTTCTGGGCAGTCAAGCCCATCAGATCTACAGGATGATGTGCGCAAAAGGCTACTCAAAAAAAGACTTCTCATCCGTGTTCCAGTTTCTACGAGAGGAGGAGACGTTCTGAGTTTGCCCTTTGGCTGTGGACACTGTGGAAACCAAACTCTCTTGGAGCCCCTTATAGCTCACTCCACAAGTAAATGGGCTTAATCAGAGGTCACCTGTCTGCTTTTGATTGTCTGGGTCACAGAAAACACTGGGATTTTTAGCCCATTTTTAACTCCTTATTCTTTTTATCTATTTAGCAAACACATATTACCTGAATTTTTTTTTTTCCTTTTCTGCAAGCCACTGATGGTCTCTGCTAGCTAGCCAACTGACCTTTTTCATAAGTTTGATTCCTGAGCATCTTCAGCTGAAACGTTGCCTACTTCAATCAGGATATTATTTACTCCACTTTTCACTTTCACACTTTCACAAATAAGACCAGTTTTTTTCAACAGGATAAAACCTATCCTCAAGGAAGGAAAAGAAATTGGTATGAGGAAACGAGTTAGGGACAGGGGAAGCATAGTGAATTACTCCCTGTGTCCCTCAGGAAGTTTGTCCTGTTAACCCAGTGGTGGTGGTCTTGCATTCTGAGGTTATGGTTTATTTTCCAAGAGTTGATAAAGCAAGGTAACACCTTGCTGCATGTTATGTAAATTGGACCCTGTTATAGTATCTTGGTGTGTCCCTCTTGTAACAACTTCCAATACTCAGCAGACTTTTTTTTTTAATATATTTTTGCTTCCTTGTACATTCTTACTACATATTTTTTGACTTCAGAAGAATGACTTCTTTAGAACTGTTTCAGAGCCAATGATATGCGCTTTAGATAATTATTACATTATCCTAAATATAACCATATTATTTTGAATTCAAATAAATTTCTATGCTGATAATACTTCCTTGGCGTTTTTGTGTCTTCCTAACTTTTTTAGTGAACAGTCAAATGACCTGACAAATTGGTGTTGTAGACTAATGGGGAAAGGATGGGACAAAGGGAAGGGAGGGGAGGTCAAAAGGAACTGAGTGTGAACTGGCCAGTGGGCAGCCCTCATCCTGCTCCTCTGCCTGTATCCTTATTGAGTCTTTGTTTTCTGGGTCGTGGGTGCTATAGGAATTTGGCCTGCAGTAGATGTAATTATGTCCCAGTAGGGAGCACAGTTGCCTTTTTTCCCCACCACAGCCCCTAGAAACACTCCAGGCCATATACCTAGACACCAGATTTAGCAAAAGTACTGCTACTTTAATCATTTTCCTGGTGATCAAAAATTCCAGGCATTATTGTTAAGTGCTAGTGCTCCAGTGATGAGCAAAACATAAAATCCTGCCCTTGTAGACCATAAATTCTGGTGTCTCTTAGGTGTATATGTGAGGAGGTGTGAGAGACAAGAAATAAGTGTTGAATGTGTATGTCAGGTGATAATAAGGACTAAAAGCAAAAATATAGCTGGGTGAGGGTGATGGATGGAGAGTGTCGGGCACCTTATTAGGCAGGTAAGGGCACTGGCCTTTGAGCAGAGATAGGAAGGAAGCGAGGGAGCAAGCCATATAGATATCTGGGGAAAGAACATCGTAGGCACAGGGAACAGAAAGTGCAAAGGCCCTGAGTTAGGACAGCATAAGATATATGAGGACTAAGGCCAGAATTGTGTGTCATGGATTGAGGGAAACCAGATCGTGTAGGACCTTGGAGGCTGTGTTGGGACGGTAGCTTTTATTCTGAGTGAAATGCAGCATGTCAGTTAGCAAAAGCGAAAGGTAACCAATAAACTGCCACCCCAAGTTTAGTGGTTTAAAACAACAAGTGTTTATTATTTTTCATGATTCTCAAGGTGGGCTATGTTATTCTTCTGACTGGGCTAACTCATTTGGAGCTGGCAGCTGTGGTTTGGTCTCACCTAGCAGGGACAGCTGGAATGATTGAGGCTTCTGTCCACATGGTCACTTACCCTTTGGGAAGTGGGTTTGTTGACCTGGTGGCAGAAGGTTCCCAGCGGCAACATAGGACAAGTCCCAGTGAACAAGCTTTTTTCAAGCCTCTGATTGCTTTATGATTGTATTGTCCCATTGGTTAAAGCAGGTCACCTAGTGAAGCCCTGAGTCAGTATGGGAGGGGTTGCATAAGATGTGGACACAGAGAAGGGGGCAGTATGGGACCATTTTGCAAACAACCTAATATCACAGCCAGCACATGAGAGATTTTGCTCAAAGGATCTGTGTGTTCTGACTCACTTTTTAGAGGGATCCCTCTGACTGTGGTGTGGAGAATAGACTTGGGGAAAGGGTGCAAGCAAGGAGACCAGGTAGGCAATGGTAATAATCCAGGTGAGAAATGATGGTGGCTGGGACCAGAATGATGAAGATGGAAGAGGCAAGAAGTGGTCAGATTCTAAACATCAAGATGGATGGGGAGAGAAAAGGAGTCAAGGCTGACTCCAAGGCTGGTGGAGAAGGTGGAAGAAAGGAGTGACCATGTACTATGAGAGCAAGATTGTGGGAGAAGAGTTTAGGATGGATTGGGAGAGGTATAGGAGGAAAAATCAGGAGTTTATGGTAGACATCTAAGTGGAGAAAAAGCAGGTCCAAGGACCGAGCCCTATCTTACTCTAGGCTTTAATGGTTGAAACATGAGGCAGAAATAGCAGATGAGACTGACTGACCAGTAAGACTGGGGAAAAATGGGAGCAGTGTCCCAGAAGCCAAATGAAGACTCACTATAAGGAGAGAATGCTCATTTGTATCAAAAGCTACTGACAAGTTGAGTAATATAAGGGATGAGAATTAGTCATTTGGATTTGGCAAAATAGAAATCATTGTTGACTCTGACAAGTGTTTTGGTGGAGTGCTAGAAATAAGATTGGGAATGGGAAGAGAGAAATTTAAAGAAATGAATAGAGACAGATTTCAAGTTTTGCTGTAGAAAGAAAACAGACAAATTGTTTAGATACTAGTAGGGAACATGAGGTCAAAGGAAGTTTCATTATATTTTTAGGATGGGAGATGTTATGGGGTTGTGCTGATGGAGGTGGAATGATCACAGAGGGGTAAGTAATGACACACAAGAGTATACTTGCTAAGTGGTGTGTTTGAGTAGTGAGAGGAGAAGCCTAGAGGCATGGATGGAGCTTTGAAAACTCAAAACCAGCACAAAAACCATGTGTCAAACTGCCTTCATATATGAAGGATAGAGTAGTATTGGAATTAAATATAATTAAAAATTATACTTCTTTTTCCCAACAGAATAAATATTAGTGCTGGAAAGGACTTCAGTGACCTATAAGCATTAACCTGTATGAGTCACCCTCCTGATCATCAGCTTTCTCATCTACAGAGTTATCAGTAGTGTAGCTTAATATTAAATGCTCTTTTGGAAACTTGAAACAAAATGTGAGTGAAGGACAATTGCAAGTGTTAACAAGCATGCGGAGGAAGTAGAACCCTCATAACATTGCTGCCAGGACTGTGAAACGATGCATCCACTTAGGAAAATAGTTTGGCAGTTCCTTGAAAGTTTAAACATGGAGTTACCACATGATCCAGCGATTCTACTCCTAGAAAGTGCTCAAGAAAAGTTAAAATATACACCTCCATGAAAACCTGTACAAGAATGTTTATAGCAACACTATTCATAATATGCAAAAAGTGGAAGTAATCCAAACATCCCTCAACTGACGATTGCATAAACACATTGTGGTATATCCATACTGTGGAAGACTGGCCATGAAGAGGAATAAACTACTAATGCACGCTAATGTCAATCATGGGGAGTCTGAGAAACCTTGCTCAGGTATTCCACAAATACTTCAAATTTATTGTATCAAACCTGAGCTCCACATCCTCCCCCCTATTGACCTGCTTCTTCTCCTTGTTCCTGTCCATCCAGGTTCCCAGAAAGCATCCATGAGGCTCTCTCCTCCACCCATTCTCCAAAGCAGATTCTAAATCTCTCGTACCTGCTTCACACTAAATCTCTCGTACCTGCTTCACACTATCATGAATTCCTGTCTAGAATACTTAGGTTTCTTTGTGGTTGCTTCTTTTTTTCCTAAGAACTTCTCAGAGGTATAATTTACATACAGTAAAATTTGCTCAGTTTAAATGTACGATTTAGTGACCCTTAGTCATTACCACAATCCATCCAGTTTTCCATCACCACCACCCCCCGCCAAATCTCATTTAGTCACTTGCCATTCTCTTCCTTCCCTAACCCCAAAGCTCTAAGCAACCACTCATCTTTCTGACTCTGTAGACTTGCAGCTGCTGCTTAGCCACCAATCTGGTTCTTCCCCAATTTGTTCCCCCACGGCAGGAGAGTGGAAGTCTAAAATTCCCCTGCATGACACCTTTTGTGGCTCAGCTGGTAAAGAATCTGCCTGCGATTTGGGAGACCTGGATTTGATCCCTGGGTTGGGAAGATCCCCTGGAGAAGGGAAAGGTTACCCACTCCAGTGTTCTGGCCTGGAGAATTTCATGGACCGTATAGTCTATGGGGTCACAAAGAGTCAGACAGAACTAAGCGACCATCCCTTTCACTTTCGCTTTAACACCTTTTAGCCTCAAATGCAGCCTGAACCCCTTGGCCTGGTATTCAGACCTTTCATCCTCTGGTTCCTGTCTTACTTCACCAACATTGTCGCCCTTTGCTCCCTCTGTGGCACCCTGTGGGCCCCGGCTTGTGAACCATAGCACTTGCCATTTCCCATGCATGCCATGTTTCTCACACCTCAGGACCTTTGCACATGCTGCTTCCTTCACTTGAAATACCCTTCTTCTACACTCCTCACCCACTGCTCAGGCACCATATCATCTAAAAGGCCTTTGGCCACCTCAGGCTGAGTCATTTCCCCTCTGTTTCTATAGCTCTTTGTTGATCCAGCCTGCATCATAGGACTTTCCTCTTACATTTTGTTTGCTGGTTTGCTCATCTGTCTTCTAAACAGACTGTGAGCTCTTTGAGGGTAAAGAATGTATCTTATTCAGCTTTGAGTCCCCATGTTGAGGTCAGCACCTGGCATCAAATAAGAGCTCAATAGGAGACCGAGTGAGTGGAAAGCAGCGGCACTGCATTTGTGTTAGGTT